GGCTATCTGTGACATCTGTTATCCTGGCATCCCCCTTTGCTGTTTTCCTGGAAGTTGGGGCCCCCTCCTCTATGGTACCTGTGTTTTCTTTTTTCTTACTCTGCCATTTCATCTTTATAGTTTACATCCTCCAGCAAATTCATGAGCATATATCCCAATTCTTGCCTGATGATTTTGCTAAATATAGAAGTCTAAGCTGAGAATCATTTTTCTTTAGATTTTGAAAGACATTGGCCCACTGTCTTTCATTGTTGTTGACTTACTGGAATCTAGACTACTTCAGGATCCTTTAGTGTGTGACTTACTTCCCCCCACAGCCTCCTACCCCTGCCCCCAAGCTTGTGGAATGGTTTCTGTTCTCATGTTCTGGAGATTTACAATCGTGCCCCATAAACAGGGCTGTTTTCATTCATTCCACTACGCTATTGGTCTATTTCAATTTGGTAACTCATGTCACTCAGGTGTAGACATTTTTCTTGATCTCATTAGTGATTTCGTCTTTTGTTTGCCCATTTTTCTTCCTCTCTCCACTATTGTTGAAACTTCTATTATTTGTGTGGAGTTCCTGGTCTAGTCCTCTAATTGTCTTGGGGTGTTGTTGTTGTTATGGTATTAGAGATTTTATCAACTTGATCATGCTGCTCTTCCATTGAGTTTTGTAGGATTGTATCATGTTTTTACCTTTACCTTTTAGAACCTCTTTTTATAGTTTCTGAACACTCCTTTAATATAGAATCTTATTCTTGTTTCACAGATACATTTTTTTATACCTTTGAGGATAATGCATTTTTGAAATTTTCATTTTCCTGGCTAATACTTGTTTCCTGGTAGTTGTTTTTTCCTGTTTGTTCTAATCCTTAATGTAAGAGGCATGTCTCTTTTTTGATTTTTGTTTGGACTCATGATTAAAGGGTTGAGATTAAAAAGAAGATGAGAAGGGCAGTGTCTGTGGCTCAGTGGGTAGGGTGCTGGCCCCATATACTGAGGGTGGTGGGTTCAAACCTGGCCCCGGCCAAACTGCAACAAAAAAATAGCCGGGTGTTGTGGTGAGCACCTGTAGTCCCAGCTACTTAGGAGGCTGAGGCAAGAGAATTGCCTAAGCCTAGGAGTTGGAGGTTGCTGTGAGCTGTGAGGCCAGGGCACTCTACTGAGGTCCATAAAGTGATACTCTGTCTTTAAAAAAAGAAGAAGAAGATGAGAAACCGGCACAGTGGCTCATGCCTGTACTCCTGGCACTCTGGGAGGCTGAGGAGGGTGGATTGCTTGAGCTCTCAGAAGTTCGAGACCAGCCCGAGAAAGAGCAAGACCCTGTCTCTACTAAAAATAGAAAAGTTAGCTGAGTATCATGGCATGTACCTGTAGTCCCAGCTGCTGGGAAAACTGAGGCAGGAGGATCACTTGAGCACCGGAGTTGGAGGTTGCTATGAGCTATGACGATGCCACTGCCCTTTATCCAAAGTGACAGAATGGACTCTGGTTCAAAAAAGATGAGAAACCTTGAGCACAGAGATGGGGCTTGTCGCCTAGAAGGCTCACTGTAGGATGATGTGGGTGGCATGTTGGGGAATCCTGTGGTCAGTACTCTTAGGCAGGTCAGATTCTTTTTTATTTTTTGAGACAGAGCCTCAAGCTGTCATCCTGGGTAGAGTGCTGTGGCATCACAGCTCACAGCAACGTCCAACTCTTGGGCTTAAGTGGATTTTCTTGCCTCAGCCTCCCCAAGTAGCTGGGACTACAGGCGCCTGCCACAATGCCCAGCTTTTTTTTGGTTGCAGCTGTCATTGTTGTTTGGTGGGCCCGGGCTGGATTCGAACCCACCAGCTCAGGTGTATGTGGCTGGCACCTTAGCCACTTGAGCCACAGGCGCCAAGCTGGCAGGTCAGATTCTTGAGAGAGGAGTGAATAGTTTTTACCTGAGAGAGAGATAATATAGATGCCAGCCTTCTTGGACAGAGCTGGGGAAGAAGGCTATCTGTTTCTTCAGCAGAGCTCAGTAAGCAATCACAATATTCCCCTATTTTCTTGTTCTCAAATACCTTGTGTGAGCTTTCTGGTGATGATGATACCCCTGCCGCTGCCGGTCCAGGGCAGGATCACCCGAGAGTAACAAGGATGTAGGAGTCCGGCCGCTTCTCACCTCGTCCTCCTTGTTTTAGCTGTATTCTTCACCTCTGCTTCCATCTTTCACCCCTGCTGACTTGAGGCTCAGCTTTCTCCAGACACCTGGAGTATCTTCAGAGAGAAGGCATTCTCATAGGAATGAAAGAAGAGTGCAGGCTAACAGTAAACAGAAACTAACATCCACAAAAACCTGTAGAATCTTCAGAGAGAAGGCACTCAAAAATGAGTGAAGTTACTGAGTCAGTTACTACTGACCTGTCTGCTTTCTGGCTTCCAAAGCGTTGTTGCCATCTTCCTGCCTTTTCCCTCTGTCTTTAAGAGTTTATGTCCTTCAAAATTTTTTTTAGTTTTAGGGGATTTCAAGAAGGAACAAAATGATGCGTGTGGGTTCTGCCCTTATTAACCCTAACTCCAAACATCTGCTGAAATATTCTCCTATTTCCCTGTATCTGTGTAAATAGAACCTGTCCCATTCGATAAACAGCTGCTCTTTTATGCCTCTAGGTCTTCTTACAAGGAGTGCTCTCACTTCTCCCTCCTTCCTTTGCCTGCTTGCCTACCAAATTCTTATATGGTCTTCAAGTCCCAGCTCAAATGGCTGGCTTATGTGAGGCCCTCCTTTGAGCCCTGAGTATTTAAAGCTTCCCTGTGCCCATGACTGGCCTGTAACTAGCTGCTTATTCAGTATCTCTTCCAAAAGACTGTGAGCTCCTTGTGGGTAGGGCTTGTATGGTCACAGCTCAGTTCCTAGCACATATCAGCATCTTTTAGATGATTTCTGTGTGCATGCCACTTTTCTCTTGTTTTCCTTCCCTTTCTTTCTGCTGTCTTCATCTCTTTTCTTCCTGTTAAGAGGCTATCAGATGTGTTATTTATTCTATTATCAAACAGAAATTCATGTTCCATAATCTTAATTTAAAAAGTAAATGGGTACTCTGGGAGGCTGAGGCGGGTGGATTGCCTGAGCTCAGGAGTTTGAAACCAGCCTGAGCTAGAGCCAGAGCCAGAGCAAAACCTCATCTGTAAAAAACAGCCAGGTGTTGTGACAGGCGCCTGTAGTCGCAGCTACTTGGGAGGCTGAGGCAAGAGGATCACTTGAGCCCAAGAGTTTGAGGTTGCTGTGAGCTGTAATGCCACGGCACTCTACTCAGGGCAACAGAATGAGACTCTGTCTCAAAAAAAGTACATGGGTAGAATGAACGTTTTTCCATTTCTAAAAACTACCAAATTAATTAAACTTAAATATTTTACATTTGTTTATCTGATTTTTCTCCCCTACTCTAAGGATTGTTAAAACACAAAACAGTCCTTAGACCTAGATGAAGACATAATTCTTACCAACTAATGGAATTTGTTAAAGGACATTGAATCTAAGAATCTAAAATATTTAAATAAATTAAATTTTTTTTAGTTTCAGCGATAAAAATTAAAGAGTTTACAAAGTCTGCATGGCGCCTTTCTTGTTTCTTGCCTGTCATACTCCTTTTTTAGAGCAAATGTACTGCTGTCAGAATTTAACCCAGTAGTTGTTGGTAACCCCATAATCTAGTCAGCAAATGATTTAAATAATGGAATCGAAAAAAATACATATTCACAGGCTCACTGTTCTGATTACAGTGTGAATTTCAGACATGGTGTCAGTTATATTAATGTTAGAGTAGGCAGTGGCTTAAGGTAGTTGTCAAAATAATTGAAAAGAGCAAGTTAGGTTTTAGCAAGAAAATAAAGTCTATTAATGACCTGCACAGCAAGCTGGGCCTTGTCCTAGTGACTGCAGGCCCCATGGAAAGGGCAGTTTTGGGTTTTTTACACAACTTTGAAGAGTATCAGCTGCTTTTTGGAAGTCTCCCACGGTCTTACTTAACTCTGTCCTCAAAACAACCCACCTGCAAGGTCTTAATTAGCACCATTCCCATAACAGCCCAAGTCAGCCTTACCCAGGCCACTCCAAAATAGCCTCACCACATTTGCCATCCACCTTGCTAACTTACTGCCTAACATTAACATTTATACAAACAAAAGAAACATAAAAATTCCCTCAAGTTTTTCAATTATCAATTTATCAAGTTATACAAACAAAAGAAACATAAAAATTTCCTCAAGTTGAAAATCTACATATCATTTGTATTACCTAATTGAAGAGCATACTAAAGTTTTTACATTAAGCTTGTTTTTTTTTTGAGACAAGTTCTCTGTTGCCCAGGGCTAGAGTGCATGGTGTCGTCATAGCTCACTGCAACCTCAACCTCCTGGGCTCAAATAATTCTGCTGCCTCAGCCTCCCTAGTAGCTGGGACTACAGGTGTATGCCACTGCACCCTGCTAATTTTTCTATTTTTTGTAGAGATGCGGTCTTCCTAGGGCTGGCCTTAAACTCTTGACTTCAAGGAATCCTCCTGCCTCAGCCTTCCAGAGTGTTAGGATTACAGTTATGAGCCATCAAGACTAGCCAATATTAATTTACAAAATATTTCCCACAAGTAGAAAATAAGTGGATTACTATTTAATATGGAGTTTAGGAAAGTACCATGTAGGTGTTACATCCTAAATATTCAATAAAGATTTTAAAAGTATGGGCAGCACCTGTGGCTCAAAGGAGTAGGGTGCCAGCCCCATATGCCGGAGGTGGTGGGTTCAAACCCAGCCCTGGCCAAAAAACCCCAAGATTTTAAAAGTAATGTTTAGTTTGTAACTCCCTAAAGGTCATTATTATTCTAAAATTTCTTTTATTTTGCAATTCACTATTTTCTGCATTTATCAATAGCATAATCTCATTTATGTCCAATTTACAAAATGAATATAAATTGGGGTGTTGATTCTGGCTAATCGATTGGTCTTCATCTTCTCTGTTAAGCAGGTATTGATTTTCGACTTTTGAAGATGGATGAAGGTATAGAAATTTCCAGCGATGGAAATTCCTTGATCAAAGCAGTCCACCAGAGCCGGCTTCGCCTCACAAGACTTTTGCTGGAAGGTGGTGCCTACATTAATGAAAGCAATGACCGTGGGGAGACACCTTTAATGATCGCTTGTAAGACCAAACACGTTGATCATCAGAGTGTCAGTAAAGCCAAAATGGTGAAATACCTGCTAGAGAACAATGCCGATCCCAACATACAGGACAAGTCTGGGAAGACTGCCCTGATGCATGCCTGCTTAGAGAAAGCCGGGCCAGAAGTTGTTTCTTTGCTCCTGCAGAGCGGGGCTGACCTCAGCTTGCAGGACCATTCCAGTTACTCAGCTCTCGTTTATGCTATAAATTCAGAAGATAGAGAGACTCTGAAAGTTCTGCTGAGTGCTTGCAAAGCACAGGGGAAAGAGGTCATCATCATCACAACAGCGAAATCACCCTCTGGGAGGCACACTACCAGGCAGTTCTTGAATATGCCGCCGGTGGACATAGGTGGGAGTCACTCCCCAGCCTCCTGTGCCACTCCTTCTGAAATAGACATCAAAACAGCCTCATTGCTACGTTCACATTCTTCTGACGCAGAATTGACACTTTCTGGCTTTAAAGATCGTGAGCCTTCTGGAAGCAGTGATGATGCCCAGGACCCAAAGTCCCCTGGAAAAAAGCCTCCTGTGGCCCTTAATGGGCCCAAGCTGGCCCAGGCTCCACCCTGGCTCAAGAGTCCCCCATTACTAATGCACCAGAACAGAGTGGCCTCTTTGCAAGAGGAGCTCCAGGATATTACGCCAGAGGAAGAATTATCCTATAAAACCAATGGGCTGGCGCTTTCCAAGAGATTCATCACCAGGCACCAGAGCATTGATGTAAAAGACACAGCACATTTGTTAAGAGCCTTGGATCAAGCTAGCTCAAGGAAGATGTCTTATGATGAAATTAATTACCAGTCTTTTTTTCCAGAAGGAAATCAGCAATGCATTGAAATCCCTGTTGACCGGGACCCAGATTCTAACCAGACAGTATTTACTTCCAGCTTAGGGAGTATAGTTCAAAAAAGAAACTCAGGGGCGAATCACTACAGCTCGGATTCCCAGCTCGCTGCAGGTGTTACCCCTCCAACTTCAGAAGATGGCAAAGCACTTACAGGAAAGAAAAAGATCCTTTCACCATCCCCACCACAGTTGTCAGGGGGCAAAGAATTGTCGGAGAACATGCCTTCAGGTGTCCTGAGCAGGAGAAATCACGCAGTTCTAGAAAGGCATGGTTCAGGAGCTTTCCCTTTAGATCACAGTATTACCCAGACCAGACCGGGATTCCTACCACCCTTAAATGTAAATCCTCACCCTCCCAGCTCAGATGTCAACGTCAACAAGATTTGCAGTCTTTTTTCTTGTGGTCAAAAGGTGTTTGTTCCAACAGTTCCTGTTTTCCCTAAAGACTTCAAGAGTAAAAAAATGTTGTTAAGGAGACAGTCCTTGCAAACAGAACAAATTAAGCAATTAGTAAATTTTTGAAAACACATTTTCTTCAAATATGCCTCTATCAGAGAAATATAAAACTAGAGAATAAATTGTAAATGTTCATTCTTTTAAGTCTTGTAATTGGCTAGTCCTTAATGGTTAGGCAGATCAAAATGTAGCGAGTGTTGTACTCATCACCGTGAATTCACGAATACAGTTTCTGCTAAGGGAATTCTCTCAAACAAAATGAAAACTATTTTTCTCAAAACCTCCACTATTTAACGATTTTCATGTGATCCAAATTTGTCATTTAAATCATTTAAACAAAAAGCATGCCCAGGCATGTGTGGCTCATGCCTGTAATTCTAGCTCTACTTATAATCCTAGCACTCTGGGAGGCCCAGGTGGGAGGATTGTTTGAGACCAGCCTGAGCAAGAGCAAGACTTTGTTTCTGTTTTTAAAAATAGAATAAAGAAAGAAAAAGAGAGAGAGAAAGAAAGAAAGGAAAGAGAGAGAAAGAAAGAGAAAAGAAAGAAGAAAAATAAAATAAAGGTCAGCAAAAGAAGGCCACATATGTTGGAGATAATTTATTTTTAAATTTCAGATCAGCTGCAGCTCAGCAAGTAGGGCGCCGGCCACATACACTGTGGCTGGCGAGTTTGAGCCTGGCGCACACCTACTAAACAACAAAGACACCTACAACCAAAAAATAGCCAGGTGTTGTGGCGGTTCCTGTAGTCCCAGCTATTTGGGAGGCTGAGGCAAGAGAATCACTTAAGCCCAAGAGATAGAGTTTGCTGTGAGCTGCAATGCTACGGCACTCTACCAAGGGCGACATAATAACTCTCTCTGAAAAAAAAAAAAATTTCAGATTGACCAAATATCTTATTAGGAAATGGTTCTCATGTCAATTTTTTTTTTAACATTTCAAGTTAATAAATGAGATTGTAGTTTACTGTGACCCCCAAAGCATAACAGAATACTCTAACAGTGATAATAAGCTACAAAGAAAGAATGAAAAAAAAAATGTTGACTGTGGGTAGATAAAAATCAAATTAAAAAATTTTAAGCACTGTGCTCACTTCGGCAGCACATGTACTAAAATTGGAATGATACAGAGAGGATTAGCTTGGCCCTGCTCAAGGATGACACGCAAATTTGTGAAGTGTTCCATATTTAAAAAAAAAATTTTAAGCACTGTGGTAGAATGGGTAACTAAAATACTTGTGGTGTCAGCTTAATCAGTGTCAAACTGGCAGGTCTGACTTAGACAAGCTACTAATAATCTAGACCTAGTCCTATTGTTTGTGTGCTGGTTTTTGCTTTTTTTGTTTTTTAAATAATCTTACCTATAATGTCATCACAGGAATTATTTTTTCTCCATATCTTTTAAATACTGTTATTATTTCTGGCGGCCAATCCATAGGTAATATAATACAAAGTTAGAAAGCATTCCTCTTTACTTATATCAAATTATTCTTGTCTTTCAAAAGAAACATAAATAATAACAAAAGTTTGGGATTTATCATAAATAGAAACTAAGGGCTTGCTTTATTTTAAACAGAAAAACTGATTATTAGATGAGGTTAGCTAAAATTAAGAAATCCAGTAGAAAATCACAAAATATACTCAATATTTAGTCAATATAAAATGATCTTTTAATTTCAAATATATAGTTATTAGACGTGACATTCCAGCCATCTAGTATTATAGGACCTCTGAATAACTTCTAACAAAATAAATGAATGCCATGCTATTATTATGAAATATTATAAAATAACTAAAGTATCTATATAACTTCAAGATATTTCAACCTAACAGTTTTACAACAAAGAATAAATCAGACTATATCAATCCTGAGTGTACTAACTTGATGATTGTCGTAATAACTTTCTTTGCCTTCTATGAGTAGAGATGATCCTTATAATTGACATAATGCTTTCCTTGGTAATTTGATGTAAGTAACTTGTAATGCACACAGTAAAAATTTAATTATTTGTGGCTTTTATTTTAAAAAGTAATTGCAGATTTTTCCATTTAATGTTTTGAAGAACAATGTTAATTATATTGGAAATAGTTTTTGATTCAGAACTTAGCATTGTGCCTGATGTTTACATAGGTAGCTAGCTAAATGCTTTCTGCAAGCTTAATATTGAGAAAAATACTAACTTCAAGTTGTAAGGATACAGTCTGGAAGAATATATAAATAGATTGGTTCATAAACAAATGGTATCAATAAAGATTTAAAATACTATTTTGATTATTGCTGATTTTTATCTCCTAAATACTAATACTGTACTAATATTATTTCAACATAAGAGAAATTATGCCACACATGTTACTTTGAACAGAAAATAAAGAATAACTTTTATTACTATTCTTGCCCCAACATGAAACATGTATTTAGTAGTAAAACTTTTTGAGCCATATTTGGAAGAATTTTTAACCTGCTAACAATTCCAAGAC